GTCACTGGAAAATCCAGGAAACAGCCTGTGGGAGCTGGTAAGACAGGAAGCCGCTCGGGGGTGGCTGCCTTGTCTCGGTTCCCAAACGCAGAGGGAGGCATCCCCAACAAAAAGAGGAAGTGGCTCCTACCTACCCCCACCTCAGCCTGCAGGAGGCTCCCTCCAGCTGAGCTGGTTTTCTGTGCCTGTCAAAGGATCATTTTTTTTTGAAATAGAGAAGTCCCCTGTGGGGGCCTTGGGGAGGCTGATGAGTAAGCAGGGGAGGCTGATCGACACAGAGAGAGAGAAGAGGGACAAGCAGAGCTGAGAGACATTTAGCTCCTGAGAGACAGAGAGATGCAGAGAGGAGTTGCTTGCTCTCTTCTGCCTGGAGTTCCGTTTCTGCTTCTGAGCACGGAGGCCCAGCTGAATTAGAAACCGAACCGAAACGCAGAGCCCTGTGCGGCGCACCTGGAATATCCCTGTTGGACCTGAGCACTTCCCCAGTAAACCAGCAGGGCACATTTTTGTTGTTGTCGTTTGCTTTTATTTTCTTTCAGTTAAACCTATAGGGCACATGCATTTGCCAGAGAAAGACAGAGAGAGGGAGAGAGCGGGAGAGGGAAAGTGAGAAACCAACCCTCTAAGAGGGTGGCCGTGCTGCATTCCCTTCTCTTCCACTCTCCTCTCAGGATTTTGGGCACGCATACACACATGCCCAGCATGATTCTCAAGCTGCCAAGTCTGGGACTCGAACTGTGAAGCTAGCCATGTGGTATGCGGTGCCTTAACCTCCATGCCATCTGTGGTCCCTAGGGTACTATTATCGATAAGTCTAAGGAAATCCAGCACCTTTAAGACAACGTAAAACTGTATTTAAAAGTATAATCTGTTAAAGAAGCAAGAAGGTGGATGACTAGTATGTTGTAGGAGGATTCATATTTTTAAGATAGTTAAATATTGGGCTGGCAGGTGGCATCGTGGTTAAGGCGGCTGAACTCCCACACGGCTGACTGTGGTTTGAATCCCAGACCTGGCAGCTTGCTTTCTCACTTTCCTTCTTTCTCTCTGGCCAACTTCAATAAAATAAAAAATAAATAAAATAATGACAATGAATAAAATTAAATCAAATAATTCTCTCTCTCTTTATTATTTTTTTTTTAAAGATAGGTAATATTGTAAAAGAGGGCTAGCAGGTGATGTGGTGGATAAGGCACTGGATCTCACATGGCTGACTCTTTAGTTTGAGTCCTGGACCTGGCAGTTTGGAAATCAGGTTGAACATATATAATGGCATGCCCAAAGACTCAAGAGGAAAATAGAGAGGGGATTGTGGCATGGCCTCCTCCCTGGAAGTAATTTCTTATTTTCCTTTTCTCTGTCTCTCTCTGGTGAGTGCATGCGTTCTATGGCAAAAACAAAACAAAAAACTGAAATAAAAAATAGTGTGAGAGTTCCTATTTTCAGGTGTCGAAATAAAGAATTTCTACTTCCTTTTCTTCTTAAACACACACACACACAAACATAATGGTTACATTGCTGAACGCCCACACAGTCAACTGTGGTTCAAGACTTGGACCTGGCAACTTGAAACTCATGCTGGGCGCATGTGCGCGTGTGCCCAAAATCCCAAGAGGAAAGTGGAGGAGAAGGGTTGTGCACGGCCATCCCTCCTGAAGGGTGATTTCTTGCTTTCTGTCTCTGTCTCTTCAGTGAAGGCATGCACCCTATAGCAAAAATCTCTCTAAAAAAAAGCAGCAAACACACACGTGTGCATATGCACAAACCATCATCCTGAAATCTTAGAACCTGGTTGACAAGGAGTAGGTTTGTTCATTTTTCAGACCTTGAGCAAATCTTTGCTGAATGCTCGCTGCGCAGGTGCTAAGCGGTTGTGGTACATTTCTGAAGAACACAAAGATCTCTGCCCTCACAGAGCATAAATTCTAGTAAGTAGGTAAATTCTATACTATGTTAGAAGGAATTAGTGCTATGGAAAATGAAAAAGCAAGCAAGGTAGGAAGAATCTAGAATTTCGAACCAGCAGTTAGCGTAATGGCTATGTCGCTGGACTCCCAAGTAGTTGACCGCGGTTTGAGTCCCAGACCTGGTGGCTTAAACTCACACCGGGCGCGTGTGTGTGCGTGCCCAAGATCCCGAGAGGAAAATGGAGGAGAAGGGATTGCAGTGTGGCCATCCCCACTGGGGGGTGATTTCTCACTTTCTGTCTGTCTCTGTCTTTGTGGTGAGCGCACGTGCCCTATAGCAAAAAAACTTTTCCAACAAAAAAAAGAAGAATCTAGAATTCCAAGGGTGAAGAGCCAGGTTGCAATGTTAAATGGAGAGGCCTGGGTGGACCTTGATGAGAAGCTGAAGACTGAGTAAACACCCCGCAGGAAGAGATGAAGTTTGCCAACTGGCTGTTCCGGGGAAGATACCAGCTTGGACAGCTCCTTGCTTCCTTCAAGGCAGAAAGAACAACTACCGCACAGGCCCCGAGGCAAAAGGAAACAGCATGATTGGAGACCCGCAGCAGGGCCAATGTAGGTAGAAGGGAAAAATAAAGATGGGGTGAACAGAACGAGAAGGTTGGAGAGGCAATGGGGCCCAGAGAGTCATGGATCGGTTCAGGGACTTTGGCATTGACTCCGAATAAAATGAGGAGCCTCTGGATGTGGTGGCACTCAACTGTAATCCCAGCTACTTGGAAGGTTGAGGCAAGAGGATTGTGAGTTCAAGGCTAACCTAGGCAACCTAGTAAGACCCTGTCTCTTAAAAAGAGACAGAAAGACAGGGCTGGCAGGTGGCATGGTGGTTAAGGGCACTGGACTCCCACATGGCCAACTGCAGTTCAAGTCCTGGACCTGGCGGCTCATTTTCTCTTTTTCACTCTTGTTCTGTCTCTCTCTGGTCAAATTAAAATAAATAAAGTTAAAATAAAAACAACTCTTTAAAAAAGAGAGAGAGAGAGACTACTGTTTTGTTTTTTTTTTAATAATTATTGGGCCAGCAGGTGGCATGATGGACTCTCACATGGCTGACCAGCGTTCAAGTCCTGTACCTGGTGGCTTGCTTTCTCACTTTCCCTCTCTCTTCCTCTCCGGTCAAATTTAAAAAAATAAACAAGTAAGTAAACTTACAGAAAATAATTCTTTAAAAAATAATAAGATGGGTGGAGTACTTGAGGTTTGCTAGTCAATGTTCTAAGTCATCCATTTAATCGTCATAGTGACAATGGATTCTTTTATACTGGTCTTACAGATAAGGAAACTGAGGCTCACAGAGGTTTAGTAAATTGGCCAAGGTTACAGAGTCATGAAATTGGTAAAGCTGGACTTGAACTTACGATCTGTCAGCCTCCAAAGCCTTTCTGGCATCTGTGTTTACAATGTTAATATATAGCAAATACTACTTTCCGCTATGAATTTTCTCAGTAGCTTAATCAGGTCACATATTAGTAAGTGATCTTCAAATATGAAACGATGACTTTTGGAGAGGTTTTTGCTATAGGGCATGTGCGCTCGCCAGACAGACAGAGACAGACAGAGAGATAGAAAGTGAGAAATCACCCCCCAGGGGGGATGGCCACACCGCAGTCCCTTCTCCTCCATTCTCCTCTTTGGGCACGCACACACGCACGCACACGCGCCCGGCGAGTTAAAGCCACGGGGTCCGAGACTCGAACCGCAGTTCATTACGTGGGAGTCCAGCGACATAGCCATTACGCTAACCGCTGGTCCACAGCTAGACTATTTTAAACTGGTCTTTTTTTTTTTTTTTTTTTAAAGAAAGAATTATTTAACTATTTACTTATTTTAATTTGACCAGTTTGAGAGAAGGGGAAAATGAGAAATCAATAGAGACTTAAAACCACCGAGTCTTTCTGGATGTGGAGCTCTGTAGACATTCAGAAATATTTAACCCGTAAAATTCCAATAGAAGTCGAGTGATTTTAGAGCTTGTCTGGGTTATTTCTTTTCCATCTGTCCATTCCCCGAGCCGCCTGTGCCTGCTGTAGTAAATATGGAATAAAGCTCTGGAGACAGGATGGATGGGTCTTTTCAAATCGCACCCGGAGCATCTCCCAGAAAACATCAAGACCACTAAAGCAAGCCCCGTTTACACTTTTTTTGTTACGCAGCTGCTTAGGGGCGGGCAGAACCTGCTCCTCGTGTGGGTCTAGTCAGTTTGAGGAACACGTCGCCACCAGAGAATGGAAAGAAGTAAGCCCAGGGCGCCTAGACCACAGCGACATTCCAGCTCCCCGCTGCAGAACCACCTGCTTAAAAGCGCAGCGCCCGTTTCCACGTGGGCACCGATGGAAAGCTGCTGTAGGCTGGGATCCGCGTTCAGTCTGCATCGTGGGTGGCCCGGCCATGACAGTGCAGTTTGCGGACCCGACT